TTTGGTGCCACTGCCTTTTCTTCCTATGGTGGCTTTTGGCTTTCTTTTGGTGTAATATCCATCCCAGCTTTTGGTATTAAAGCTGCTTATGCAGATGCAGATAAATTGGCCTTAACTCATGCCGGTATGTATCAGTATTCAAATCGGTCGTTAATGATAATTTATTTTAATCAAATCGCTCAATTTCATTTTTACGTATTCTATAGTTGGAATATATCTAATTGGATGGACAATATGTAAGTACATTCATCTTTTTCACATAAATTGTCCTCTCAAAAAATTTTTTTTTTTCTAAATTTCTCTCCCTTTCCTTTGATTTTTAAAATAGTCACATTCCTCTTATTTTTGGCAACATTCCGATCTAACGGAGGAATAATGGCATTGTTCTTTTTCTTAACGTTGACTTTCCTTTTATTGACGTTAGGAAAGTTTGTGAATGAAGATCAGCCATTTCCAAACGGTTTTACAAGAGCTGGTGGTATATTCGGTATAATTACTGCGTTGATCGCTTGGTATAACGCTTTAGCAGGTTTACTTACCCCTGATAGCTCTTATTTCACTTTACCTACTTTTGATTTAAGTCGCAAGAGTAACTAAAAAAAAAAAAAAAAAAAAATGAATATATATATAGATATATTTACTTTGGGGGTTTTTTTTTCCTTAATAATTTTAAAAAATGTATGATATATATTATATAGGTACTGTAATAATCATAGTTGTTTGATTTTGTATATTATTTGTTTAATTCACGTCTTATAATAATTTTAGTCTATTCTTGAATGAAAAATTTTTTTTTTTGTTGGTTAGCTAATGGTTTTTATTCCAAATTTTTAAATTATAAATTTATAAATTCAGTTATTTCAACGTTTTTGATAAACCATTCGGATAGCTAAATTGATTCTGAAATCTCATTCATTTTCAAATAATTTAATAAATAGTTAATATTTTTAAAAAAAAAAAAAAAAAAAATTTATTATTGCTTAATTTGGGTATTTTTCGATCACGTGTAATCAATTCAAAATTAATCACAATCGTGATTTTAAAAATTTCACGAGCCGTTAGTCGAAAAAACTATTAAATGACATCGCAATTCATTTTTTGTTGAACACAAGAAACTAATTGTTATTATGCTACAGCAAATTTTTGTAAAGTTGATAAAGTTATGGATGAAAAATGGTAAAAGAACCGAACCAACATAATAAACGATTTGATTCTGATCAAAATATTTTTATCCAGAAGCTATAAAAGAACTTTATGATTAGATCATTTTAAATCATTGAGTACAGAAAGTAAGAATTAGATTTTAAAGAAGCCTGTTATGATAAGCCTTTATAGAGATTCAATAATAAATTTAAAATATCAAACCGCTAGATCTTCATTCCAAAACTATAAATTTTGTCAGTTTAGATGAAATTCCTGTTTAATTTAATATAACAGAAAATTATACTTTTGATAATTTAATTCGTATTTGCAGAATTGCTAATGAAAAAAACTAATTTATAGTTATTTTAACAGTTTTTTATATTATAGATGGTATAAAATTTCTACTGATTGGTATCTAAAAAAAAAAAATTAACTATTATGTGATAAAAAGATTCCATTCGGTAAAATGGGGTGAATGGTAAATGGATATTGAATTAATAATTAATAGTTTTTCGGCACGAAGGGCCGAATAACTATTATTGGAAAAATCAAATTTGATTGGTTGATTTGGGGCTCCTTCAAGGTAGCTCGGCTCGAAATGCCGGATAAGTGATTTATCCGGTGTCCCGTGAATAAGCTATTGTTTACTATTTTTTAGATACTGTATATGCCTACAAAACTTCCTTGTGACAGGTATATCACATATAATAGTGCCCTTATTTCTTTTTCCATTAGGAGGTTAAAGGTTTCTGATAAGTTTATACCATTCTATAGTTTTAATCATTCAGGACGTGATAATTCTTATTTTTAGTTATGGAGTATTTTTACATTTTTTTATAACGATATTATTATATTTGAATTTCATATTACATTTAATTTAAATTATATAGTTATCCAATGGTTTTAATAAGGCTTCGCAACTATTAAATAAAAAAAATAAAAGGCCATTGCAAGAATTTTCATCTTCCGAATTAAATACAAATAAAAAGAAAAAAAAAGGAAAAAAATAAAACTTATTATATATACAGTATATAAGTTTTTAATGCAATTTTATTAATACAGTCAAACCTCTCTAAATGCATCCTCTATAAATGCACACCCTCTTTAAATACACACAATGTTCTGATCCCAAACTTGGAACTTAAATTCTAAATGCACCCTCTAAGTTCTACACATGCAAGAAGTTTTTTAGTTCTTTTATATGATAATCCTATTCTCCAAATGCATATCACATGATTATTTCTATAAAATAACTTTAACAAGAAGTTAATGATTACCTTAGAAAAATTTATTAAACTACTCTAAAAAAAATAGTTTAATAAATAAAATAATATATTGTTTAAATTTCCATTAGGTAGATCTAACTAATTTTATTTATTACTATTATATCATAAAAAATTTGTTGAAATGTATATTTTCTATTAATATACATCCTCTCTAAATGCACTCTTATTTTCAGTCTTGAAGGGATGCATTTAGAAAGGTTTGACTGTATATATAATGCTTAATAATAGTTATTAATGCCTGATAATTATTTTTTTATCTAATACCGTATTCCTCCGAAAATAAGCACTGAGTGATATATATGAATTTATTAGTATATACGTGACAAATAATATATAAAATTCCATGTGACAAATAAATAAATTACTATAAAAGGAGCGTGTCACAGGGTGCTTATTTTCAGAGGAATACGGTAAATCATTTTTTGCCTAATAAATAATTTATCATAATCATTATTAAATATAAAAATCACATAATACCAGATAATAAAAATTACATTAATTATGTTAATAATAATCTAAAGATCAATAATACTTAAAATAATGATTTTAAAAAATTAGTTATATAATAATGATATTAATTAACAGTTATTATATATAGTTTAATTAGTATATATTAACTTAATATAGTAATTAATAGTGCTTCAAAACCAGTTTTCAGTCTTTAGTTTTAGTCCATTTATTTAGTAACCAGTTTTAAAAAAAATTTTTAAAGATCCAGAACCAGTTTTTTAATATAAATCAGTTTTAAACTCAAATCAGTTTATGATAAACTGATTTATATATAAAATTAGTTTAAAGATTTAAATTAAAATTTAAAATATTTATTTAGAATAGAAAAATATATTTAAATT